CTAAAGAACAGCTCTTCCCAGCTGACCCTCAGTGGTATATTGGATGGCGAAATGGGGAGACAGAAACAGTCTTTGTCCTTTCCCGGCTCTCTCCCTGCCACAAGCGGTGCCCTGGAGCCAGGGCTTGCGGGAACCCCACTTCGGCCGTTCTTAAGTAGCAGGACGTGGACATCATCTGCCCCCCCCCCCCCGGAATTCCCTGCTCCTGCTGAGCTTAGCTGGGGGTGGGGGAGGCCCTTTCCCCGCAACAGTGCCTTGTTCTTGCTGCAGTGCAAAGCATTTCGGACTTCCTGCTCTGGAGTGGCCACTGAGGACCTGCTAGCTGTGCACTCCTGGTGGAGATGTGAACTCCAGGAATGGCTGGTGGATCAGGGCCTGTGAATGTTGAATGTTTGGGCGTGGAATTGCTCTGGGGTCATGGCTGCATGGACTGTGATGATGAGTCACGATTTGCTGTGCACGTGCTGCCCGCCCTCCTCTCACCAGGGGGCAGCTGTTGCTCTTTCGCGCCTTCACCACCCTCGGGGCGATGCTGGGGGATGTAGGGGTGCTTGCGCAGAGCCGGGGTGGGCAGGAAGGAAACCTGCATTCTTGACCAGGTGCCGGAGCTTCAGTCTCCTCTGGCCCCTCTGCCCGGCCAGACTGGGACTGTCCATTCCAGCACTCCAGAGGACCCCACGCACATGCATTCCAGCACCCCTGAGAGTCCCCGGGGCCAAGCCATCTTTTCCAAATGCCATCTTCCGGATACTCAAGCAGGAGTGGAACTACATGCTGCAGGAGCCCGCACTCAGCTCAGGCACCCCAGAAAGAAGCCATGGCTGAAAGGAGCCGAAGCTGCCGAGTGGTCCAGGAACGCCGGCAGGGTGACTGCCCTCTCTGGACATCGGTCACTGTAGGAGCTGCTTCCCCATTCCACGCCATGGCCCAGCCTGAGCCTGGGCTGAAATGGATCCAGTCTTAGCTAAGAGCACCTGGGGCTGGTTGGCCACCACCCGCTCGAGGACCTTGCCCAGGAAAGAGGCATTTCCCAGCCTAAAGTTGTTGGGATCTTCTGGGCCGAGGCAGGATTCTTCAGGATTGGTCTCCCTGATGTCACGGTTCTGGGTGGGGTGGCTGGGTATCAGATCAGGGACCTGGACCCAAACTACCAGTCTACTCCAAGGGCCTATTCCAAGTCACAGTCAAGCAGTCTGGAGGTCAAGGCCAATAACAGAAGGACAGCCAAGTTGGTCTGGATAGAGCAGAGCAGTCAAAGCTGGTCAGGAGTCAAAAGCCAGAGAGACAAATCAAGGAGAAGTGGATACCTGGTGCTGGAGCAGAAGGTGGAGCAGGTGGAGTCAAGCATGGTCCAGAAGTGGAGGCAGGAGAAAGGCAACGTGCAGTTTCCAGAAGCAGGTTCCAGGAGGCAAAGAGCACCCCAGCAACACCAAGGACCTTCACTGCTGAGGCAGCATCTAGAGGGAAGAGCCGGTCCTTCCCTCAGGGCTTCCAGGTGGTGCTCTTAACATCTCTGGTGGCTGTGTTTGAATGTGGGCCTGGGCCTGCAACCTTCAGGGCTGCTATTCTGGCCTCTGGCCAGAAGAGGGAGCCCTGGTGCTGCCTCAGAACCTCACACCTGACGCCTCCTGGCCCAGCAGGTCGTTGCTTCCTTGGCAACTCTTCCAAACCAGAAGGGTCAAGGACCCAGTACAGAAGCATTTCCAAGAACTCAGCTGAGTCCTGTGCCAGCATCCTGGAGTGGTTCCATCTTAAACCCATTCAATCAAACTGGACAGGCTGTGCTCTGGATCCTCACCCAGCTATGACTTTGGAGTCTAAGTCCTGGCAAATGCGAGGGATTTTATCCTGGAAGTGCCCAGCAAATATATTACTGCAGGCCTCGGGGGCCGGGGGAGTCTAGGATATCCATGGGGCCAGCAGTTAATAGGGCCCAGATAAACCTGGGCAGCAAAGATGAGATTGAGGAGAGGCGGCGAGGTTGTTCCTTGGCCACTTTCAGTGTCTTTAAATATCCCAGGGTTCGACTCATCCGCGAGGAGCTTTCCTCCATCTGCTCCCAAGCCTTCTGCTGGGCTTTTGCATTGCTTGCAGCTCTGGGGTAGACCATGAAGCTAGATGAGAGCAACCACAGAGAGGGTGCTCTTGGCACCCTGCCAGCCGGTGCATCTCTGTGCCACAGCTCAGCCAGGGAGCCAACCGGGGTGCCAGCTGGTTGAGGCATTGTGTGGAAATCAGCAGCTCACCCCGGATACTTCCTGTGGTTCAGAGCGGTCAAAAGATGCCGCACGGCGGCTCCAAGGGATAAGAGTTCCCAATAAAAAGGCGCACAGCAGGCATGGGGCACAGGTTGGACAGACCTCCGTGGTGGGACCTGTGGAAGACGCCTGCCAGAGGCACAAGGGTGCCGGGGCCGGTCCTGGGCAGACAGGAGAGTGCAAAACCCAGTTGCGTGCTAGCACCTGGACTCTTCTGGTCCTGAGCCCCAGAGAGCTCCCCTAACCAGCCCTCGTAGGCCTTGGCTAGATGGACCCATGGAAATCCAATGCGTCATCTGCCTCAGTGGCCTCCTTTGGTGGTGAAGCAGCTGGAGCTCCCCACAATCTGTCACTCATTAGCAAAGATGAGTAAGTCATCTCTGACATTTGGTTCCAAAGGGAATGGATTCCTCTGCCTGCTGGAGGTCTTTAATTAGTTAAAGCGCCCCACTGAGTGTTGAGAGCAGGGAGGAAAATAGGTTTGCAAAGGGAGATGAAAAAGCGGCCTTCGCGATCCGTCCCGGGGAGCCAGCTGCCCTGGTCATTTGCTGTGCTTGGGAGGAGGCATTCCCTTGGGGGGGCACAAACGCCCCTGGCCTGGCCAGGCCAGGTGGGCCTGGCATGCTCAGAAGGAGCAGTCCCAAGGCGGAAGGCCAGCAGGCTGGGAGAGGCTGCTCAAGATGTGGGGTGCAACCCTTCGACTTCACTGGTGTTCCGTGTCTGCACGCCCGTTCGGTGTTGGATGGACACTTGGAATGCGAGGGAATGCTCTTATTTGCGTCAGGGTGCTTCTCAAGACTCTCGCTGACCCTTCTTAGGGACACTCTGGCACTACAAGCCTCCCAAGGGCTTCTTGCATTGCAGGCCAGCCTCCCTTGGCATCCAGCCCTGCCAAAGACATGCACAGCCAGGCCTGTCTCTCGGGGAGAGCTTGGCTCTTGACTCCCAGGCCTCCTGTCGCATTTCTGGCCGTTCACTCCTGGCTGTGTACCCGTCTTCCGGGCAGTCCCCTGCCATCACACACGTGCCTTGCACAATAATCCCAGCGGCTTCTCGCTCCCTGCGCCTGCTTGCCAACTGCTGAATTGCAGGCGGGCCTGGCAGGGGGCCTGGAATGGGCCACGCCTGGAGCAGAAAGCTGGCTGGCGGGGGGGGGGGGGCTTTGGCCTGACCCACCTGGGCTTCTTCAGTCTGTACATGCAGATGCAGGAAGGGGGAGCATGAAGCAAGAAGGGAGCCCAAAGCTGTCTTCTTTTTTGGGGGGGAGGTGTCAAATGCAACAGGCCCCTGGACCGATCATTCAGCAAGTGCCCCTGGACAGCAGGGTGGTGGGGCTGAGCCCTCCCCCGCCCGAGGGCTGGGCTCCAGTCTGAATGGGCCCCCCGGGACACCCGCTCTGGCAGAACTTTTGCTCCACTGAATTGAACAAAATAAACCTTGTTTCTCGATGTCAGTGGGTTGGTTGTGCGTGAGCACAGGTGTGCTGATGTTGCGTTATTTATTTATTTAGACGCGTGCCCCACCCTTTTCTTTTTTTAAGAATCCAAAATGGCTTTTTTCAAGAATCCGTTCTCCTCCTCCTGCCCTCCAATTTCTCCCCAGAACAACAGCCCTGTGAGGTAGGCTCTCCAGTACAGAATTTGCACTGGCCTGCTCTGGAGCTCGCTGTCTTCAGAGCCACCTCTTTGCAGACTGTGTTGCTGAAACATAAACAATACTATTCAGCTGGACTTGTTACCTATCCATACATTTTAAAGCTCTGGTGTTAAATATAACATTAGCAAACTATTGCTAATAAGGATTGACATTTATTATTGAAGCGTTATGATGAAATATAATAATTTTGATCTAAAATGGCCACAGTTCAGTGATAGTCACCCAGGCAAAATGTCTCGATTAGGGGAGTCTTTTGTTTCAAAAGAATAACAGGTTTGCTGTGCCATAAGAGCTTCTGCTTTTGGGCAGTATAAACACTAATTACTTAAGTTTTGAAGGGACCCACAGCTTAATGTAGTTGTCCACTTCATGGAATTTCTGGACAATTTTCGCCTTGGGGCAGATTCTGACACTTCGTCGTTCTTCTGTATGACATGATAAAGGAGTTGCACAAAACTGGATTTTGGAATTTTGTTTTCACCCCCATGAACTCTGAAAAAAGTGCAATTCCTTGTTCTCCTGTTCCCTCCCCATTCTTTCCCTTCCTTGCTGTAGCTGGCGGTTTTGTTTGTTTTTTGGGGGGAAAAATCCTTTATCGAAAATCAAAGAGGACACCCCCAAAAACCCCCCAGAACAAAACACACACCCCAACAGAGATACATTTGGAAGGGATAATATGAAGCGCACGTCGCGGCAGCCGGGCGACCCAACCGCGAGCAGCACTTCGCGTCTCCCCTCGGTTATTCCTCCATCCCCGCGAGCCCTTCGGGGCTTCAGAAGCATTTTCTGCCGCATCACGAGAAGCGCGCGGCGAGCCGGGCGAGCTAGCGGGGCGCTCAGCGCGGCCACGACCCGCACGCTGGAGGGGCTTTCGCTCGCGAGGCCGCTCCCCCCACGCACCCAGCAAGCCACGTCCCCCCCTGCAGCGGGGGCCCCTCGCTCCCTCCTCCCGGCGCTGCTGCGGGGGGAGTCGCCTCGCCCCGGCGGGAGCAGCCGCGGCGGGGGCGGGGGCGGGGCGCGGGGAGGGGGGAGGGAGGGGGAGGGCCGGGGGGCGCGCCGGCTCCAGCATGAGGGCGCCCGTAAAAGATGTGCGAGCAAGCCGCGCGCTACTGCCGCGAGGGCGTCCACAGGCTCTTCCGCAAGGCGCCGCCGCCGCAGCCGCAGCTCGCGGGGCTGGACGGGCTGCTCCGCTGGATCGTCACCAAGATGAGCGACAAGAGCCTGCTGGCCGAGCGGGAGCTGCCGCCGCAGCGCGACCCGCCGCCCGCCGCCGCCGCCGCCTGCGCCCCGGAGCAGAGGAAGGGCGCCTCGGTGATCCTGGATGTGAGTCCCGTCCCGTCCCGTCCCGTCCCGCCGCGCCGCGCCGCGCCGCCC